CTCCGAAGGCGCGAGGGCTTCTAAGGAGTCCCGCCGCCTTCTGCGAAGGCCTCCTCCTTCTCATTTCCCCAATTCGCTCGCCGTCGACTCTGGTCTCACGCGGCGCCCGCATGCTCTGGCGAGGATGCCATAGAAGCGAGGCATGGTCGCAAGATGGCGAGCGCGCGTGCTGCCACGAGGGAAGCCCGGGAGACGGGGGCACGCGCGCCCCTCGCGCGCGCCCGCGTCCGACGGCAGAAGGAGGAAGGGAGGCGGCACCCTGAGATCCTACGTTGCGGAAAAAAAACGCAACATCGCAAAACATCGCAACCTGAGCCCTAGACTTGGCGGCGCGCACAGGGGTACAGGGGGAGGGGAAGGCTTCTCAGAAGGGGGCTGCTCCTTAAAAGGCGCTGGCCTTACACACATAGACAAGGCCCGCGTCTTCTAAGAAGCAGGGCGCTTCTAAAAGAAGCCTTCCTCCCTCCCCCCTTTCTGCGCGTGGCCGATAGATAGACACCATCCTCTGGCCGGATCGGTCTGTGAGGGTCCCGAAGCTGGGCGACAGCGCCCGGTGTGCAAAAAGATGGAACGCCCGGATCTCGGGGCATCTTTCACGCACGCCCCCGGCAGCGAGGACAGGCATCGGGTATACGGCCAGGCCGCCGAAGAGTGAACCCCCTCTGCTGGGGAGGGGCTCGGTGCTTCTTAATTGTTTTAAAATTTCTCTACCGGTGATATCAAACCCCTGGGGATAAGAAAGTTCGGGGCCTGGGGGGATCATAAGCGGTTTTCCCGACGGAGGATGATGGTGGTGATGGATGATGGCGATGGTAATGGTGATGGTGATGGTGATGATGCTGATGCTGATGCTGATGCTGATGCTGATGCTGATGATGATGATGATGATGATGATGATGATGATGATCCTGGGCGCTCGTGTAACTAGATCCTCGCACAAGACTGTCCCTATAATAATCCTCGCACTCGATCATTAATGATGCTGCTAGTCAGTATAAGGCTATCGCAAATTCGATTCGCAACTTCCCCCCGCGATAATCAAGTTCGGCCTCGCCGCCCCTCTCAACAATCAAATCTGTCTGACCCGGGGATAATAACCACTCAGGGGTTAAAGGGGGGTATACTTTACTATCCGGGCTTAGGGTAGGTGCTCCATAAGGTGTCTTACAGTAGAGGCCAAACCACAAGAAACCTTTCACATGAAACCCAACCCTGAGACCCAAGGACGTCCATGGATTGTTGGTGTGGGAACTTCACGCTTTCCTTTGCAAAAACCAAGAAGCCTAGGGCACCCTGGAAGCAAGCAGGGTGTTTCTTGGCATGGGCCTCCACTGACTGGGGAATCAAAGCTCGACTCATGGGAAAAGGGGGCTCGTCCCTCATGCAGGGTTCCTCCTGACAGTGTTCCCAGACCCCCGACGTTCTGATCTTTGCACGACGCGACCCCCAGGAAGTCCAGACCCTTTCCCAAAGACCAGCTTCTCATCCTGAGTCGCTTCGCTGACGGCCCCGAGGCCCAGCAAGGGCTCCCAGGGGCCGAAAATAATGAAAAACCTTCCGTCGTGATAATCTCACGACTCGATGGGGGTCTGGGCTGGACGCCCTCGAGCTCGCGATGCCCCATCTCGCTTCCAGGCGGAGGTGGAGGAGGAGGAGGAGGAGGAGGAGGAGGAGGAGGACGACGACGAGGAGGAGGAGGAGGAGGGGGGGGAGGAGGAGGAGGAGGAGGAGGACCATCACTTGGCTATGGGGGAGGCTAAGGGATGGCCGACCCGACCCTAACCCGAAACCTCGTGGCACAGGGTCACCAGTTGTTCTCCACAGCGGCCATGGGTGCCTTTGAGACGGCAGTGCGCTGCCGACGCTGAATGCGGTGCTGGGGCCTGGTGTGACCTTGCACACCAGGCCTCAGCAGCGCCGTACCGCCACCGCCCACGAACGCGGAGGGTGAGGACGTGGGGCAGAGCCACTGCCGGGGCGGACTGGCAACCCAAGTCCACCCCCGTGCTCAGAGGCCCCCGTGGGGTTGTCGCCTGGCTGACGGAACCCCAAAGCTCGGGTTCTAGGGCTGGCTGCGTAACCAGCACCGTCAGTCCAGGAAAGAAGCTCTGACCCAGGAAGCAGCTGTGGGCTGAGGCGAAGCTGCAGCCCTGTGCCGCAGAAGAGAATGCGCAGCGCTCCTTCCCCCTGAGGCGGGGTGCCTGACGCGCGTGCTGGGCCACGCGCGCACGCGCGCACGCACAGTACTCAGTTGGGCCCAGACCCAGGTGCGCGCGCGTGGCGCTGCACACCTGGCCACAATCCTGTTCCTCCGCCGCCTATGGCGGGGAGGTGGGAAGGTGGAACTGGGCAGCAGTCAGTGGGCAAGGGGGCCCAAAAACCACCCGCGCGACTAGCAAAGAGGCAGCGCCAACACAGCACTCTGCAGTGAAAAGGACGGCATGCCTCGCCTGGCTGGCGGCACCCCGAAGCTTGGGCACCAGGGCTGGTAGCGGGGCGCCAGCACCGCCACTCGGGGCGAGAAACAAAACCCCAGATCGAACCTGCATCGGGCCAAGGCGCATCTGCGGCCAATGCCGCAGGAGAGGGAAATGGGCGCCCCTTCCCCTTGAGTCGGGGCGCCTGACACGCTCGCGGGAAACGCGCTCGCACGCGCGCAGAAGTGCACAGAGAATGAGGCGACGCCAGGACGACTCGGCACTGCCCACCTCTGGTCTAGAGAACGCCAGGACGGCGGGCAAGCCTCATCCCTGGCGTGGGACTGTCTGCGCCTGGGCTTGAGCTGCCTCTCTGGGCGGCTGCTCTAGCGGCACGGGAAGCAGACTGAGCACAATCGGGCTGGCGGCGGCACTCTTGGGGCGACGGCCAGACTGCGCTCTCTGCAGCTGCAGCATAGCCCCACTATGGGGCGGTCTCAGCTTCAATCACCAGACGATACTCTCGCTCGAACTGCCATCCTTAAAGGAACCGCACTTGCGGTTCGCCAGAAAACTTGTTGGCTGCTCGAACTGCCCGCAATAGAACAAAGTATGCCCCCCTGGGGTTGGAGGCCAGGCTGGACATCTGGGGGCGGTGTCCAAGACAATCCATTGCGCTGCATCGCCCTTCGCACGCTTTGAACGCGCGGACGCGGATGCGGCAAATCGCATAACGGCGCTGGCCATTCACTAACGCCCAGACGTGGGCCCTGGAAACCTCGCGAGGGGCCACAGGAGGATGGGGGGAGGAGGGGCGGAAGGCGGGGCCCCAGGGTCCCAGGAGGCAAGGCCGAGGCAACCCCCGAGGGAAGGGGAGAGGCTCTGCACGGGCTTGGCCAACGCCCTGTTGCGACGAGGGGCTATCGCGGGCCACTCTACAAGGGCTTTGGGCACATATCGGATGTATTCCTTCAGCAGAGCAATGTCTTTCTGATACTGTTTCTTCATCGACGAGACTGGGTTGACTGCCAAATTTCGCAGCGGCCTTGGCAATCCCACCTGCGGCATCGTTGCCGCGAGCTAAGCGGACATCGTCACTACCGGGGGGAAGCAACTCCCGATTTCTGTGAGCCTTGGAGCACGGGGCCGAAGTCAAAATGGCCTCCGCCCGCGAGCACTTCACATCCTGACCATTGGTTACGGTGAGGGTATCGAGCCTCGCCGTGCAACTGCAACACCCCTTTTACAATCCGAGTAACGCTTGTCAACGCGAGGCGAGAGCCTGTCTGCCGCCACTACGGCGAGGTGATCAGCGGCCCCCGAGGTTGAGGCCCCCAGGGACCCAACGCGGCCATTAAAGGCGGCAAACTCCTCTCCATGCACACTACGGCAAACCCAGCAGCATTGAAGTTACAGTGGCCGTGACACGTGCCACTACCATCTATGTAGACATCACCTAGGAACGCTTCCTCAGGCCTCCAATAAGGGTCTCGACACCAAAACTTAGCGGCCTCCAGGCCAGTGCCAGGGGGAGGGTTGCCCACAAAGTTGGGCGCAAACTGAAACCCAAGGTGGAGTGTCAGGAACCGGGCCTTTCAACCTACGAAGCTCCCCGCTAGTGAACTCTTCTCTGGCCTAGGCAGTCTTGGGGCAATCGAGGAGGCGATGTTGGAGGTCATCTTTGCGGTGTCCACATGGGCAACCTTGGGGCACATCATATCCTGCTGAAAGCGCGCGCTCCATGGTCCAGATACTCTGGGTGACGAAGGCCAGCAGCGTGCCGCGCTGCTGCTTGGTCAGCTCGACTGAGTTGAGGACGGTGCGGAGGGCTGAAACATCAAGCTGCTCGCCATGATGGCCCATCTTGGTGGCAGCCTGCACTGCTAACTTGTCGTGCCAGGCAACCGCGAGCTGCTTGGCAATGTAGGCTGGGAGAGTTCCTGGGAAGGGAGACGCAAGGCCTGTAGGAGTCACAAAACGGAAGGGGCCCTGAAAAGACCACCCCACCCTGGCCAACGAGAGGGCCGCCGCGCAGAGGGGGCCCCGAGCCCCAAGTGTTGGAAACTCTCAGAAAAAAAAAACTACCTTTCCCCAGAGGCTGATCTGCTGGAGGCTGGCCATGGCCGTATCGGGGCGGGTGTTGGCCTCCCAGACATGACGGTGCCACATAAGCGCGGGCCCGAGGCCCGCTTTCCACAGGGGGTCCTGGAGGATGAGGAGCGAGAGAGTACGGCTCCTGGAGGCACGCCTAGGACCTGTTGCAGCTAAATACTGAGTCTGGGCCTGCGCGAGCATCGTGTTGCTGATGCCGGTGACCTCATCTCCGAACGTGGTGGCCGCTGCGAGGCCAGTATTGTACAACTCCTTACCGTTTCCTCCAGCATGTTTAATCATTTTGATACGGGCCATGCGTTTCTTGATCTCGTTAATGCGCTCCACAAGCTTTCGTCCTTTTCGCCAACGCCTTTGGGGCCGTCCAGCCCCAGAGGAGGAGGAGGAGGAGGAGGAGGAGGAGGAGGTTTCGACTGTACCTCAACCCACGCCCCCGGAGAGCGCCCGCGGCGGCAGGCGCCGGCGAGCGGCCTCGCGGTGCTTCTGCCGGGGCGAGTGCTGCGGCAGGGCGCCCAGGGAGCGCTCCCGCGCCTCCTTGGGGGGGGGGGCGGGGGCGTCCACGAGGGGGGCGTCCAAGAGGCGGAGGAGGAGGAGGAGGAGGAGGAGGAGGAGGAGGAGGAGGGGGGGCGTCCTCCTCCTCCTCCCCTCTCCTCCTCCTCCCTCCTCCTCCTCTCTCCTCCTTCCTCCTCTCCTCTCCTCCCCCTCCCTTCTCCTCTCCCCTCCTTCTCCATATCCTCTTTCTTCTCCTCCTCCTCCTCCTCCTCCTCCTCCTCCTCCTCCTCCTCCTCCTCCTCCGCCTCCTCCTCCTCCTCAAGAGGAGGGTCCGCAAAGCAGGGCCCGAGGCACGTGCGCGGCCCAGGGGTGCCAGGGGGCGCATGAAGATAAGAGGGGGCGCCGTGGACTCTGGCGACATGCCCTGGCCCTGGAAATTAAATCCACCCCCCATATACAGGGCGGGCGCGGCCACGAGAGACCCTCACAACAGGCTGCCAGCCCTGGAGAGCCCTCGCGCGAGGCGCACCCAAGGGGAAGCCCAGAGCACCCTGAACGCAGCAGTTTCTTCCACGGCTGCGGGGAGTCGCCGCGCAGCTCGCGGAGCAAAGGAACCCGGCATGTCCTCACGAGAAGCTCATGGCTTCTTGATGCGCGCCCCCACTCGGGAGCGGCCAAGCGGGGGGTGTCCAAGAGGGGGGGTGCAAATCATGGCCGAGGGCACGTGCGCGGCCCAGCGGCGGGGGGGCCGGGGACGTAATGAAATAAGAAACGGCGCCATGAAATCTGAGGAAATACAGTCGGGGTGGATTGGAGAGGACACGCGAGAGGACACAAGACTCTTCCGATGGCCACATTGCCAGTGGAACGTAGAGGGCATGGGTCGCGAAACACAAGACACAAGGGTACCCTTGTGTGGGCAGGGTCGACCTACTAATCAAACTCGACTGTACCATGCCCCCCCGCCAGGACATTCCACCCCCCCCTGGTCATCGCCCCCCTCGTTTCCGCCCCCGACCCACTGCGTGTCCTCCCCCCCCCGCGTGGCCGCCCCCCGAGGGGAGGCGCGCTGCGCCGCGCTGGTCCCTCGCCGGGCCCGCTGCTCGCGGCGGGGGCGCCCCGAGGTCCCCCCCCCTCCAGAGGGGGACAGAAAGGCACCGATGCCCACAGTCAGCCCGTAAAGAATAGGATTTGCAAAAATATAGGATTTAAAATACATAGGATTTGTAGAAATATAAGGATAAGATATGGCAGTTTTACTCAGCCCTACCGGGCAATGTTTAATACATAGGATTTGCAAACATATCGGATTTTTAATACATGGTCATTTCAGGAATGAATGTATGCATGAACTCATCGTTGTTTCTTAGTGCTGAATCCTTGCATTTTTAAGACATGATCCGCACGCGGAGCATGTATTAAAAACGGCACTGTGCAGTCAAGCCGTAGAAGAACGGCCCACGGTAGGGATGCTGGGGCCTCGGAAGGCCATGCCAGCACCTGTCGAGAGGGGCGCGGCCCAATAAAGTGGCCATCGAGGGGCCGAAGGGGAAGGATGCAGGGGTAACCTTGGAAGGGCGTTCATCCTCACTACTATGTCGGGCCTGTCCCCCTACGAGGGGATTCTCGACGAAAAAATTAAAAAAAATACCCCAAAAATACCCCCAGACCATTTTTGTACTGTTTTTTTTATTTTTGGGGTATTTCTTATTTTTCGTCGAAAATCCCCCTCAGGGGGACAGGCCCGACTTAACCTTCCTGTGCGGGTTGACTGTGCTCCCAGGACCTCTCCAGGGGGCGCGTCCGAGGGCCTGCACGCTCCTGGGCGGAGCCGAAGCCGGCCGTGGCGCCGGGGGCCAGGCAGGGCACTCTGGCCGGTGAGCCTCCATCACTGCAGTCGGGGCGTTGACCTAAGGAAAACAAAAGAAGGAACGATGCCTCGTTTTCACATCAAGTAAGGTTCGATTTCCCATGGGAAACCTCCGGAAAGCCTGAGACAAGCTGTGAAATAGTCAAGGAACACCGAGCCCCTCCCCAATGAGAAGGGTTGCTTCTTCAGCGCCCCGACTGTACAGACGACGGGGGCCTCCCGGGAGGCCCACAACGTGGCAAGCGAGGGAAGGGCACATGTTCGGTGGCCCTCCACTGCAGACGAAGCCAGACTTGAACGAGCACGAGTCGGCGGCGAGCGAAGGGGGGAAACGAGAAGGAGAAGGCCTCCTCAAAGGCTCGGGAGTCGCCCGGCCTTCTGAGGAATGTTCTAAGCCTTCCCCGAGGACACAGAAAGCTTCTCGGAAGGCCGGAGGGCTTCTGAGAAGCCCCGCCGCATTCTGAGAAGGCCTTTTCCTTCTCACTTCCACCCCTCGCTCGCCTCCGAACAAAGACAGCCCAGCTGTAAATTCGGGGCCTGGGGCCAGAGTGCACCGATACAGTCGCGAGGACTTCACAAGGCTGCGCGTGCTGGCGGTGCACCAACGCACGCGCCAGGCACGCAGAGAGAGGGAGGAGGAGGAAGGGGACGGGGGGAGGGAGGGAGCGGTACAGTCGAACCGTATCAGAAGGACGCACGACAAGAATGCAAGGGCCTTGGACGCCCATTTCGAAGCGTTTCGAGCGGGGCGCGGCCAACGAAAGAGGCCAAGGATGGGCCGAGGAGGCAAGGATGCAAGCGTACTCTTGGGAAGGTTGCCCATCCTTACTATGCGGGTTGACGGTACGGGCACCTGTTCCTCCTTGGCTGGCATGCCGCGAGCCTCATGGTGCCACGACGGCCGCAGGAGCGGCGGGCAGCAGCAACACAACGTTTCTTCTGATCAGCGCGGGTTGCTGGACAGACGCGCCGAATGCCCTCAAGATTCTCAGGGGCGCGCCTGCGCTGCTCCATACTTTGCCTCGCGAAGCTCCGCACGGCACCGCACAGGTGGCGCGCAGATCCGCTGCTTGGGGTCCACGCTGGGAACCTGGCCTCTGAGGGGTCCCAGGACACCACCCTGCCAGGATCGTCTCTCGGCCGCGGCCCCCTCCTGCCGGCCGCCCCACGCCTCCCACGGCGACGACGACGGCGCCGGCCACGTCGGTGGCCGCGGCGGTGGCGGCCGCAGCGGCGACGGCGGCGGTGGCCGCGGCGGCGACGGCGGCGGCGGCTGCCTTCTTCGCCGCCGGCCACGCGTGCCAGCCGCCCGCCGCGCCGCCGCGCCGGTCCGCGGGGGCGCCGAGGCGAGCGGCGCGGCAGTCGCCCGGCCCTCGAGGGCTGGGGCCGCCTGGCACGGGGGGCCGCAGCGGACGGAAGGGGGGGGGGGCCAGCAGGCCACGAGCGGCAAAAGTGTCCATGCCTCCTCCTCCTCCTCCTCCTCC